GGTCACGAGCGGCATCATTGAGACTATCGCGCAACTTGATCTGCTCCGGAGTTTCGGGAATGGTGTCTGAATCGATGGCGAATGAAGGCTCTGGCACCTTCTTCTCGGTCAAATCGGCGACGATCTGTGTGGTCAACTGCTGGACTTCCTTGGCCAGCTCAAGCAGGGTGGATTTATGTTCGGCAATCATATTGACTAATCGTTGTATGCACTTGAAGCAGTTATCAAGAGGAAGATGATGTGAAGTGAAGCTTCCCGTCCTGCGTTCAAACTACTCATTATACTTCCGCTTGGTCGGGCTCATGTTGCTTACACGGCGGCGTTATGCAGGACGATGTTCTCGGAGTAGTGCTTGATGTGTCAGCTATCTGGAGCATTTCACTGGTGCTACCCAACGCCCTTGACGATGCTCGGCTGCACGCTGGAACATCCCGCATCGTATGGCAGGGCCCAATGGGAAGGACCCTCGCGCACCGAGAGACCAGATAGGATACGGAGTACGTCTCCTGCATGCGCGTGCAGCGCACAATTCGGGCCTCTAGCTGCATGGTTCCTCGTGCACTCACGCGCATATGATTTTCGAGTAGAGGTCATGAGAGACGTCTTTGGAAGGCCATGTTCCGATTCAGCGAATTGCACTTAGGCCCAGAGGTCTGCTTTTTGACTTCAGGCGTCCTCGCGTCGGCCCGGCGGAAAGCCAGCAATCTGAGACAAAGATCTTGACAGCGGGAGGCCTCGGTGACTCCCGTCCTGCCGACAGTTCAGGTATGTGCCTGAGTCAGGTCGATGGAGGATAAATAGACGCGCTGCAAACCCTGGTTGTGGACGTGGCAGAGCCCCGCTCAAGTGAACCCGCCGCATGCTGCGCTGTAGGCGCCGAGAGCAATTATCGGCTCTACTATTACGCTAACAGATTTCGGTATCGTAACTGGTGCGACCAATTCCATTTTGTTGATGACAGCCGTTGGTCGGCGAAATGGGTGAAATGGGTGCGCGAGGATGGTGGAAGCTCCAACGATGGGACGAGATGGGGATGACTAAGCCTCTGACACGCTAGCCTTGATTCGCACGGCACGTGTTAGTGGGACAACTCCGGTAACACGTGAAAGATCTCCATGTCATCTTCATAATTCGACGACAACTATGCTTTTGCTGTCGCACTACCCTAGAGATGACACGCGCATTTTATACCGCCTTTATTCCAGGGCTTCATCGTACTGTACGAAGTACCTGCATATTCTATCTGGGCAGCCGCAACTGGACTGCGTTCTTGAAACAGCACTACCTCGAAATACAACTAAAATGCGTACAATAGTCTCAACCGAATTATGCTCTACTCGACCAAGTCTTCTTCTTTCGAGCAAAGCTAAGTATCGCGTCATGGTCACCTCTCTAATGAACGATCGACTGCCGGATTGGAATAAGATAGCGGATGAAATGCTGATGACGACGCTGGCAAGCTGATGCTGAGCGCCGGGCATGGTAACGATCAACTGCCATCTCGTGGTTCACACGCTCGGATAATGTAGAAAAGGGTCTCGATGACGTCGTACGGGCGGGTCGTGCAGGGGTTGGGAGGTGCACCGAAAATCCGGGGGACCATCTCCACTCCCAACCCCTAAGGCTCACGAAGCTTTCCCTGTGTCTCTTACAACTCGTACATTTTCCTTTGTTAGAACGCGTTTTCGTCATTCCCGGCAGCGGTAGATCCTCCGCATACCATCCAGGTTTCTACGCGACAATAGTTGGGCGCGTCTTACGCCACCTCGGATAGCTCCGCACCCCTGAAGCCCGAGTCGCGATGCCTGTCAACACCATCTCTGTGGGCGCGGCTGTGACGCCCACGGTCATCCAGACATATCTCTCGCATTACCTCAATCGCCGCCCGCTTGCGCAAAAGCCCACGGCGCACATCTCATATCATGAAGGCCTCGAGCTCATCCGCCGCTTTCTCCACTACGCCTCCTTCCACACGGTCGACGAATTGCAAGCCTTCACGTCGCAATGGGTTCCAGTGCCGCGCTGGGTGCACGTGAATGTAGTCGAAGTTTCCGCGACCCTACTACAACGCTCAGCTGAACTGCTCAATGCACAATTGGGACCAGAAGGCATCAAGGCAGTCGGAGGAACGAACTGGTGGCAGTGGAGACGCGAAGGCACAACACTCAAGGCCGAGTGGATCGAGATGCGCAAGGACTACGACGCGAGGAAGCAGCTGGCAATCACCAAAGGCGATCGCATAATGCTCTATGTTCATGGCGGCGCATACTTCTTTGGCAGCGTCGACGAGCATCGCTATCAGATGCAGCGGCATGCGCGCAAGCTCAAAGCTAGGGTGCTGGCGCCCAAATACAGACTCGCGCCTCAGTTCCCCTTCCCATGTGGTCTGCACGACTGTAAGTGGCTTGCTGAATATCGAAGAAGCAATACTAACACCTCCAGGTCTGGCCGCCTACCTCTACCTTCTCGAACAGAAGCACGATCCTACGACCATCATACTCGCTGGCGACTCGGCAGGTGGCGGCATGGTACTCAGCATGCTCGTGACAATGCGTGATCAAGGCATACCATTGCCCGCAGGAGCCATTTTGATCAGTCCATGGGTGGATTTGACACACAGCTTCCCTAGTCTGGGAGGAGATGGCAAGATGGACTACATTCCCTCGCACGGCTTCATCCACAAGCCGAGCATGAGCTGGCGTAAGTTAGTCGTTTCCGTGTCGAAGAGTTACTACTGACCACATACAGCACCTCCCAACGCAGACGATATGCTGGACATCGAAACATCCCTCAAGGGCTCGACCAAGAAGAAGAACAGTTCAGACAAGACGGAGGACAAGGCAGCAAAGAAGGAGGCGGAAGCTGAGCGCGTACGAGGCTACTCCGTCCAATCTGGAGATCGACCACTAGAAGACGTCGCGGATCCATCAGCTACAGGACAAGGCATGGGTACCTGGATCTCGTCCAATGGCAAATACAGCATTGGACCCAAGAGCCAGCTATCAGTTCAGCTCGAAGATGAACGCGTCGAGATCAAGGACCAGATCCAGATGTATGCTCCAAACCATCTCCTGACACATCCTCTGGTATCGCCGGTGCTACAACCAACACTCGGAGGGCTGCCACCTCTACTCATCCAAACGGGAGGTGGTGAGCTACTCAGAGACGAGCAGATTTACCTCGCGCACAAAGCCGCGCAACCATTGGCCTACATCCCACCACCTTCCAACAACCAGACTGCTGAGTCCATACAAGCTCAGGCCGCCAGCTACAGGCCCACGAACGTTCAGCTCCAAGTCTGGGATGACCTATGTCACGTCGCACCTACGCTCAGCTTCACCCGCCCGGCAAAGCACATGTACCGTAGTATAGCCCAGTTCGGTGCTTGGGCGCTTGCACGCGCTCAGAAGAAGTCCATCGACATCCTCGACGATGACGACATCTCCTTCATGAGCAGTGATTCAGGCACTTCGTCTGAATCTGACAAGGCTGGCTCTGGTTCTTCGTCGGACGACCCCAAGTCCGCGGACAAACATCCCAAACCCACCAAAGCCGAGAAGAAAGCCGCTCAAGATGCACGCGTTGGTCGAGCTGGTGACGCGATCCCTCCCTTCGAGCGCCATATGATCCGCCAGCGCATCGATCGACACGGGCGCATCTATGCACTCGCTCCGAAGGAGGAGCTTGTTGCACTGAACATCCCTAGCGTTGACGTGGGCGTGCCAAAGACAGGACCCGTCAGCAAATGGATGAAAGCGCAGTCTCAGTGGAACAACAAGTTCTCCAAGCAAAAGATTAAGATCCAGAAGCAGCGTATTAAGGATATGCAGAAAGGTTTCGAAGGCTTCGAGGGAGAGACACCCCCACCGACTGCCTTGGCTGGTAGAAGGATCAAGGGCATGAAGGCCGAGAAGGCGAAGAAGAGGAGTTGGGGCATGTCAATGTGGGCTGGATGGGGCAGTAAGCATGACTCAGCCACTGTAAGTACACTCACTCTCAACGTCAGCCACGACAACGTTACTAACACGCCTCAGATCGTCCGCGAAGAGAAAGCAGACCAGAACCCCGACACCGAGGCCTCAACCTCTACTCAAGATCCAGCCAATACAGCCATCGACGGCACAACAGAAAGCGCGCCAACCCGCAGCCGAGCCAACAACCTCACCACCCCCGGCATAAAACGCTCACGTTCCCACTCCCGCCACTCCGCCGTAACAGACAAAGGCCAAACCGGCCTTCCCCTAGACGACCTCTCCAAGATTAAGATCGACCTACCCACCCCGGGCCTCGCCGACGCAACAACCCTCGCCCCAGAACGCTCTGCCTCGCCCCTCCCCTCCCCCACAAGCACAAGCGAACTCAGTCAGCCCGGTATCGGTATGGGTATGGGACCCAACATCATCGTCTCGGACAACCCCGAGAATTTCAGCACCATCATCCCCGAAACGGATACTTTGACTACCCGACCCACGGCTGGCGGTATCGCGTACCCGTTTAGTTTGAAAGTTGATGGCCCGGATGGGAGGGATGTTAATGCTAGTACGCTTACGCTTGCGAGTGTGAATGTTGCTACGCCGCCGGCTATTGATGATGTAGAAGAGAAGCAGCTGGGTAGTATGTTTCCAGCTGGTGAGAGTATTATGGTGCCGGGGGGTGAAAGTGAGAGTGTGAATGAGCAGGTGCTGAAAGAGGAGAGACCGGGCGTTGAAAGGTGGTTTACTGCTGGGGCTGGGGCGGGGTTGTTTAGTGATGGTGTGATGGAAGAGAAGGTGGAAGAGGAGGAGAAGGTGGGGAGGCCGGGTGTTGAGAGATTTGAGACTGCAATGGATGGGCTGGGTATGGGCGCTGCTGGTGATGGTGGGAAGCCGTGATTCTTGCAGTTTGGGAGAGAGATGGGGACAGATTGAGGGAGCAAGAAGAACACGTAAAAATACTGTAGATACCCAAATTTTCTCACTGTTCGTAATCTTAATACAACCGTACACATTTCATCATCTGGTCTACACTTTCTGCTCCGCCATCCACTTCTCGGCTTCCTCCTTGTACTCTTCTCTCCATCGGGTCAGGGGTGGTCTCTCATTCACGATATCTCCAACACTCCACAACATGCGCTTCTTGTCCGTCTGCTCCGTGACCTGATCGTCAGGACAGATGATGTAGAATTTCTTGTCCTGCATCTTGGCATACATGTAATCAGCGACTTGGTCAGCTGACCATGCACCTTCTGGTTTAGCCTTGGTAGAGCCTGGTTCGTTTCCAGACTTAATACTGTCAGTTATGCGCACACGAAGATAAGAAGAAAGACTTACAAGCCCAGTAAACGTCCAACCCGGCACCAACAAATGCACCCCAACACCCGTATCCTTCAGATCGAAACTCAAATGCTCAGCCAGCGTCTTCACAGCCGCTTTACTAGCATTATACGCTGGATTACCAGGCGGATTCGTAATTCCCTGTTTACTCCCCGTGATCACAATCGCCATCCCCTCCTTTCCCGTCCCCTCCTTCCCCGCCCTCTCCTTAAAACTCGGAACATAAGCATTCAACCCATTCACCACGCCCCCCAAATTCGTAGCTAGGATCTTATCAAAGTAGTCTTCATCGCCCCAGGTACCTTTTCCGCCGATACCCGCGTTTAGCATCAGAAAGTCAATGTCGAGACCGACTTGTTGGCGGATTGAGGCCCAGTCTGAGCGGGAGGAGACGTCGGCTTGGATGTATTGGACGTTACCGGAGAGATGTTTGCGGGCGTGGTCGAGGGAGGATTGGGATGAGTCGACGATGGTGACGCGCATGGAGTGTTTCAGGCAGAGTTGCGCGACGGCGTAGCCGACGCCGGAGGCGCCGCCTGTTATCAGGGCGTGGGCGGAGGGGCGGAATGCGGACATGCTGGGGGTTGTGGAGGTGATTGTTTACGAGAGGCGGAAGGTGAGGTTGTGGTATCGTCTTGAAGGGGTGCCGAGGTGATGTCATGCGGGGTTACGTTATCTCCGAGGCGAAGCTAGACGATAACGAATTCACTCTCCTTCGTGTGAGACAGGCCCAGTCCCCATCCGCGCACAGTTCCAATCCTCTCCCAACATCCCTTATGCGTCTTTGACTGTACCAGTGCAAGTCCTTCAACCAAATCTATCGTATCATAGCGTTGGACATGTATGAACAAGATTACCACTGTCAAGGTGTCTTCCAACAGTTCAATGTCACTGCTCATAGTGACATCATCCGGTATTTCAGGAGCCTCTGTGTTCGGGATTTCCAAAATAACATCGTAGCGTCGGGATTTGTACTCTCGATCTGTACGCTTCAGAGTTGCTGCCATCGTCGGCCCGAAGATTTTTAATTGCCCGTCTCGAACATGCCCATATAGATCGGAAGTGTTCGGCGTGCAAGTTATGTCAACGACTCGACAGACTGAGTTTGTCGAAGTCGACGCTAATTGCTTTTCGCATGGAGCCACAGCTGTGATAATCGACGCCCAAGACCATGTGGGCGCCAGATACCGTGAAGGTCGGTCGATGATTCTGCCTGTAGATCGCCACAAAAGCGCTTGGGGAAGTTGATATTCCCATATTCCCGCCAGATATGTGCCCAGTGTTGGTACCGCAATTTCTCTGGCAATACCAGAGATGCCTGGAAGTCGATCTGTTTCGAATGTTAGTGCCAGCTCAGAATATGTTCTGACGAACTTGTTCCAGGAGTTTGTGCGTATGTCAGAGCGCGTCGATGCCACCGCTGCGGCATAGGCACGCTTGAAACTTTCCAATTCCGTGGGCAATGAATTATCGAGGGTGATGTTCTGGCATTCGCACCAAAGGTTATTTTGACACTCCCACATTATCTCCTCTTTAGTATAGTGGAGTACCCGACGAGCTAGCAGTCGCTCTTGGAAGCACCAAGCTCGGTCCAGAAGAGGCATTGAATCATCTCCAGCCTGCCACACAATGATTGTGTGGTGATATATCCTTCGTTGTACATGAAAGCTGCCGTTACCCGGGCCCGCTAAGTCGTAGCTCGGACTTCTGGGACGAAGAAAACCATCGTCACCGTTCTTCGAGCTTGTCGCAGCAATGACGAGGTATGCGAATTTATACACCGATGCCATGCGGGCAGCTTCTCTGGCCCAGTCCTTCCGGTCGTCTTGCACAATGCATAAGGAATCTATCCAGACATACGGAACGCCGATGTCTCTAGTTATGACGATGGCATCCTGAAACGTTTGGGTGAGCTCGTCCCATGGTATGCTAAGCATGCGAGCAGATATGTTTTCGTTCAAAAGTAAGGGCATGGCTTTCCTACGTTCTTCTTTCTTGCCCCAGGCGTGGCTCAAGGCAACGTAGTGGGCATCAGCCGACACTTCATTCGAACGGCAGAGCTTGATGTCGTCTGAAGACAAGCCAACCGAGATGAGTCTTGTTGGTGTCGTTGATGCGTCTCGTCGGGGAAGACATTGTGGGTGCAGACCTTCGCATTGTCTAATCCATTCTTTGACTGTGCTAACGCAAGCTTTGGATGCAGGGTCAGCCGGGATATGGCCTGCTGTCTGAACGTCCGAGAAGTAAGGTGGCTTGTCTAGCTGTGATAAGTAGATGAACTAAGCCTCCCGTGCTCTGTGATGGCAGACAAACCAGGATGAGTGTAGAAACACAGTTCCATAGGTAAACTCCCTGATTTCTCTGGCATGTAATCATAATCGACTACGACCCGCAAAGGCTTTTCTTTATGATTGAAGACCGCGACTTCGAGGCCCGGATTGGGCTCATACTCGTCAATGTTGGCTTCGGTAGTCCGATGAGGGCGGTGAGGAGGGAAAGTGTACTTCTCAATTCCTTGGAGAAGTAGCTTGCATTGAACGCAGCCATCCTGAGCAGCCTTAGGCAGTGTTGACAATGTGGTCCGCCATAGATGATTGCCCTCACTCCATCTGCAGGACTTGGTTCCGATCTGTTCGGACCACAAGGGCGCATGAGGTGGCGCTGGGGTCATCGCGCAATCAGAAGCGCGGGTTCCTGTAAGATGGTGTTGATAGTGCTTGGAGCGGCGACATGAGACGTGGTGGGGTCTACGCGCCCGCTGTTCAGAACACGGCGGGCGCGACTAGGCATCAGGCATAGCCAAGCTACAGGCAGCAAGGAAGAGTAAGCAAGTGATCCTCTTTCCATAACTCCCACCAACCACCGCCTCACATCATGCAGCGTGTTAGACCATTTTGTACCTCATGTCTCGTGGATACGTTGCGCTTTTGTGTTTGGCAGGCAAGAGCTACCCCGTACCCTGGCGCTATACACTGTCTTGAGCACGGTTCTATCATGCATGATTGCGTCATCGCCTAACAGCCCCGCTGGTGCCCGAGCTAGATCCATAAACACCTGTGTCGCTTTTCTACACCACTCCCCAAAGAACCGCAATATTGTCCCTACTTTACACTCATGCGCTGCTAGACCATTGCTCACCTCTGCACTAGCAAGCACGAAGCTGCTCAAACTCCGTCTCGCTCCCGTAGGGCTGCAAACAGTTATCTGCTAACCACTCATGCGTTCCCTCAGCTACGCCAAAATTGAGTGCGACACGGCTCTTTCTGCTCTGGTTGGCTTCACTGGTGTGCATGAGATTACCATGCATTAGGATCAGTGTCACCGCTTTCATCTCGAGTTGTTTGTATACTAAATTTCCTTCCTCGTCCTTCTCTGGAGCCGTGGCGTTGGGCGACAGTTCCTCAATTCTAGCATACACTGGCTTTGCCAGGTCAGCGAACTCAGGCAAGCCGTTCTTACCCACACGACATCTTTGCGTAATAGGCTGCGTTATGACTACCGGGAGCGACAGCCAGGCATCCGTTGTATATGGTCGCATCTTCGAGAGCGTACCAGAACATTGTGCAGCTGGGTGGATTGGTGAAGCCTGAACAGCCGTCTTGATGTTTGAAATGCATGCAAGGTCGTATACATCTTTTACATAACAGATTCATCTATCTGCATGGCATCTAGTCATACCTCGCATATACCACACACTGCCAGTACCAACGCCACACACCTTCCCCAAACCCTCCTATTCCCAAGCACCATCCCTCTCAATACCATCACCACTTCAAACCGACAAAATCCTATGTTGACCCATCTCCTCATCAAGCAACCCCTTAATCTTCTCATGATACTTGTCAATCCCACTCGGTCTCGACATCGCCACCCAAAGATCCTCCGGCACATCCACCCCCTTCTCAAGCTCACACGTCAAATTCCGCGTAAACAACGTTAGCCCGACCCCAGCTTCCACAAACGTATACGTGATCCAACAGTACCCCTGTACACCACCACTTCCATCTTCCCTAGCAGCGATGTCATTGACTTGCCAGAACGCGAATTTGCGACCGCGGTCCGCGATTTCCAGGATCCATTGTGGGTGGTACGTGTTGTTAGGCAAAGCGACTTTCTCCGTCCAGACGTCGCCGACTTTGAGGGGGAGAGACAAGTTTTGGCCTGGGGGCAGCCCGGAGCTGCCGGCGTAGGTGCGGCCCCAGTTTGAGGGGTTGGAGACGAAGTCGTAGATTATGTCGGGTGGGTAGTTGAAGATTGTTGAGGAGGTTGCGGTCATGATGCCCATGTTGTAAAGAGTTTTGAGGATGTTGTTGTGAAGAAAGAGTATTTGTTTTGGTGTTGAAGTGAGGAATTGTAGTTGGCAGTTAAAGATACACAAAGTGAGAGAGCGATAGCAAGACTTAGTATGAGAAGTTAAGAATCTCAAGATGGTGCTGGTGCTGTGAAGCACTTCTCCGGACCATCATCATTGGAACGCACGAGTACCGGCAATTCGACGGACGCCGATCCGCTGACGTATGTCACAATGACTGATCCCCGCATTCGAGCTCGAGCTACGGGTAGACTTGCTTTTGCGCTGCTCCTTGGAATTGCGACCAAACGGGCGGGGAGAGCTCCGCACGCCGATCGTTCGCGTGCTGGTCATTCATCATAAACAGCGTCTCAAATCCTTACCAATATTGTTCGCGCAAAGCCTAGACTTGCGCGTTGAATTGAGAGGTAAGCGCTAAACTGTAATATGTTCTGTACTTTTTGAGGGTACTTCGTAACCAGAATAGTTTGCATTGCGATGGTATCACGTCTATGCCTCCTTGATCAACTTGCGCGTCGCACTCTCCATCCAGAGCTTCGTGTACAGCCTATGCAGCCACTGAATATGCCCAGGTTGCGGTCCAGCGTCCTTGCCCTCTGGCGTCGTATCCACAAAGACCGACTTGAGGTGGAAGGTAGCCATCTGCGCAGCATCGTCTTTCGAGACCTCCATAGAGAAAAGACCGTCTGAGGGTCGGGGTTCAGAAACGTGTGGTGAGTCGCCGCATCGAACGATGACCTAGAAACATGTCAAGTCAGCTACCAAATCCCAATGCGATCGCATGAAGTTCTTACCTTATCATCCTTATGCTCCACAACCTCAAAGTGATCCACAATCTTCGTCCCAACCCCATACTCGCTCTTGGCCAACTCCTTCACATCCCAAAGATGGCTATCCCTACCCTCCACATTCCGATACCACTTCTCCAACAACCTCCTCTGCACCCTAAACGCCACGCCGCTCCAAATGCCCCTACAAAAGTCTGTTGTCAAAGCCGGTTGATCAACGGATATCCTGCCCCCATCGCCCTTGACCCAGTACTTCTCCGGCAGCTTCCCATACGGAATCTGCTTTATCGCATGGTCTATGCAGCCAGGCGGGTTGCCGTTGGGGTTGTGTGCGCGGAAGACGGCTGTGGTGAGGTCGGGGGAGGAGGCGTCGTAGGGCACGAATTTTGTGTTGCGCGTGTAGAAGGAGGAGACGCTGTAGGCGAGGAGGACGTTGGCGGAGAGGCCGCCGGTTATGCCGACGAGGACGCCGAGGA